CGAGAGTGACGTTTTGTCGATCTGACGCGGTCGCCAAGCTCCAAGATTCAAATCTCGTAGGATAACAGTCAGATTGCGCATCATGGCGAAGCGAAGCTGGCCAGAATCGATGCGAAATGCAGCGCTCCTCGAGCTCCTGCAGCCGAATTTAGAACCTGGCGCTTGTCGAACGGGTAGGTATACACTCTTCGGTCTGGCTGGTGGCAATTTTAGGGAGATCGGTCGCTTTGTTTGGAATTTATGGCCTTCGAGCGGCAAGGGTCGAATGGAACGTCTCCAGCCTTCCCTTCTTTTATAGTGTTCAGTACTCGATGGAAAGAAAGTCGACTAAACGGCGTTTAAACCGGCCGTAGGACACAGAGTGGCTATGAACTAAAGGTAAGGGAGCTTTTTGAATCAAATTATATTTCGCGTGATCATGATTTTTTTTTCTTAGCGTTGTAGATTCGAATACATGTGATAAAATTCGAACAATAAGGGCCCGAATCACATGTAATAATGCAAGAAATATCGACCTTCGTTATCTTTAATGCTACCAGTACAGATAGACAAACAAGAAGACTTCATATCTTTAAGACTTTTTGCATTTATTTGACATAATACACTAATACTCCGACCAAATGACCTCTGAAGCCCGAACCCACACATAGTGCGCTTGGGCTGCCTGTGGTACAACTGACAGAGAATATGTTTATACCACAGTATCTCTATGAATGCCGGAAATAAAAAACATAACGAAAAAGACAATGAAATGGTACAACTGACAAAAATAATTTTGAAACAAACGGCGCGCCATAGCAAGAAGAGCCTTACGTTTCAAAAGAGCTCAAAGAAATTGTTCTTGCATTGGAGGGCAAATCTTGCCGACCAGAATAAACATCAACCACTGAAAATTGATATACGTGTCACGGACCTTACAGTCCTCTCGGTATGAAACACACCTTTGATCGACACATGTCAACATTGTTCGACTAGCCGAGCCAATCAGGCGCTGCGTTTGCTGGCGAACGCAGGTTTTCAAAATCGAGGGGTTTCATGAGGACCCTCAAGGCCTTAGAGATCGGCGAAGTCGGTCATCTGAAATGGGGACTCTGTAAAGTGCGGATCCGGACGGCGGATCCGGACGGCGGATGCGGACGGCGGACGGCGGACGGCGGACGGCGGACGGCGGACGGCGGACGGCGGACGGCGGACAATAATAATTTTAAAAAATAAAAATAAATAAAATAGACGTAAATAATAAATAATGAGAAAAAAAAAGACTGAATAATGAGAAAAAGATGTAAATTTTTGTAAACTTTAGAGAAATAAGAAATATTCACTAGCAACCCGGAGTGCTCTTGTGTGTATCAACTGTTGGTGTTCCAAAAATCATTTTCTTTCTTCTATCCCTTCTTTAAACCTCTTCAAATTCCATTTAAATTCAGCTATCTATTTATTTTAGTTATTCTTTAGAGGAATGACTTAAAGGGGCTATGTCGCGAGGTTTCGCCTAATTTTAGTAACTTTAATTTACACTTTTATCTGTCAAAATTCTTTTGTCCACTGATACGAAAGGAACCAGGACTCGAAACGGAACCAGTGGCCACGTATACAAGAGCTATTGCTTTATTTTTATTTAAGTCCAACAATTTCATCGCTCTTTTCTCAAGTGCAGTTGCAGTGCAGTTTGCAGTTACCACACTTCGCATTTTCTACACTTCGCATTTTCCACACTCCACATTTTCTACCACACTTTGTACCACAAAACCAAATTTCCTACACTAAAAGTCCGCGTTTTAAAGGTTAAAAGGGTTAAAAGGTTACTTGCCTGCACAATAACTCTGACTCTGATTCCGATGACCCTGAAAGAGATATAAAGCATTGCGGCAAACACCAAACACCAAATAAAACAGACAACTGCGCAAAGATGAACTTACCACTTCCAGATACTACATCAGCGTAGCTTCCTTTTAAATTTGTTTTTCTTGTTCATTTTGCAAAACCAAAACAACAAACCAAAATTCTGCAAACCAAAACAACAGATCTTCTCTTCGCACGAGTTTTTGCTAGCGTTTGGGTGAAATCTGATCGAGCCAGCCACGTGTCTGGCCACTCTGTTTGACTCCTCTCCGAAGATTTCCGACAGTGATTCCGACAGTGATTGGAGAATGTCTCGACTAATAATGATTTTCTTTTTTTTTTTTTTATTTCTCGCTTTTCTTATGTTTTCTTATTCATTTATTTTTCTTAAAGTGTTGATTCTCGTTTATTTATTTTATACGTCTATTTTATTTTATTTTCACATTTTTTATTTTTTTATTTTATTTCTATTATTTTATGTTTTTTTATTATTGTCCGCCGTCCGCCGTCTTATTCATTTATCTCGTTTATTTATTTTATACGTCTATTTTGTTTTATTTTATTTTTATTTTTTTATTTTTTTATTATTGTCCGCCGTCCGCCGTCCGCCGTCCGCCATCCGCCGTCCGCCATCCGCCATCCGGATCCGCACTTTACAGAGTCCCTCTGAAATGACCTATTGCGCAATGTAAAACAAAAGACGTGTTGACAACTCATAGAATACGATCCTCTCTAAATCATCACGACTGAATGTTTCATTTTATTTACAAGTCATCGTTTGACAAATTAATTAGAAATTTGATTCACTGCACTCAATGGAAACACAGAAAAAAACTCGTGGGACCTTTCAAAGCAAGCCGCGACAAACGGCGAGTAAAACGCGTGAACAATTTTGCGTGTGAGCTGCAAATACCGAGTTAAAAACTATTTTTCTTGTGAGTGAAATATTTGGCTAAAAGCGAGGAAAACTAAATGCACGCCTAACAATTATTCCGAAAACAAATGTTACATAGAATTCTTTAGTCAGTTTGCGAGGGTTAACGCAAAATGTTTTTAAAGTACAATATTTATTTTGCCAACGGAAGGCCTCGTTGCTTGAACGACTATAAACTGCGAGCAGTCTTATTTTCCTTTACAAAGTTACCCAAGGCGTAAACCATGCAGACAAGCGGAGAAGCCGCGAACTAATAATAATAACCCTAACCCTAAACGCGGGCGTCTCGACCTTCGCTGATTTCACTGAAAAGCTTTGGCCGAAAACGGAAAGCGAGGGCATGGAAAGTCTCTGACACCCAGGGTAAATTCTCTATTGTCTCTATTTTAAAGTCGTTGTTGACAATCTCGCTAGCTGGAATAAGAACTAAACAGATTTTAAGAGAAAAGGCGGGCTGCAAACAGTCTAGAAAGACTTTCTTAAATGTTTGAAATAAACACGACTTAAAAACTCGTAATGTTGTGAGACGTGACCTTAGAGTTTGCTTGAACAACAGGGGTTTTCCTTCTTTCCCTCGTAGCGCGTTGGTCACCATGCCGCATGGAGCGTTCTAAAATTGTATTTTTTCCGCCGAACTGAGACTTACATTTAGCGGTCATGAAAATGGTCTATGTAAAAAAAGGCGGCCTGCAAGCAGTCTAGAAAAACTCTCTTAATTGTTTGAAATAAACACCACTAGTGATAATGTGAGACGTGACCTTAGAGGTCCTTAGAGCTTACTTGAACAACAGGGGTTTTCTTTGTCGCGCGTTAGTCACTATGCCGCGCGTGGAGCGTTCTAAACTTTTACTGAGCGAATCTTATTTTTTCCGCGACATACATTTAGAGGTCAAGAAGATGGTCCATGTATATTGGGTAATTATTTTCTAAAAATAAAGATTTTAGTTTCTTTTTTTTTCACTCAAGATCATTTTTTAGACGCTGATGCAGTCCATTAAGTTTTTCTTGGAACAAGTGAGTCTTTGAACTGGAGCGCCATTTTTTTCTGTAGGTATTAAAGATCATTAAAGTATTATGCCTGCCAAGATTGCAGTCATAAGCCTAAAAATGGTCAAAGTTAAGAAAAAGGATTGCTTAATATAAGATTTCAAAAGTTTGTACATTTTAAAATCTTTATGACATGAGTTTTCATATGAGCGAAAAGCTTTTAGACACATAAACGTATAAAGTTCATGGTGCCTCCGGTTGATTTTTTAGTCTTCAAGGGCTATTGCTTGAACAAAGCCTTCTGGAGCCGTTTCGTGAGCTCAGCGATTCCTAACAAGTTTTTCTTGTTTTTTCTTTTTTTTGGCTCAAAAACGAAGTTTATAAGACAAACAAATTTGAAAGAAAATGTTTGCAGAAATTCTACGTTTCAAGTAAACAGGAGAAAGAATGCTACATGACTGACGAAGTCTTACCCCGAGGAACCGAATCGCCATTTTTGTCAGCACTTCATGCGAAGAACGACACAACAAAGCTCTTCTTTTCTTTTCAGTTAAGGAAACAATTCAAACTTTTAGCGGTTCCATTTAAGTCATTACGCCATGTTTGAATATTCTACAAAGATCTTTTTTTAAACTTTCGCGTGTCTAGCCGACTAGTGATCTGTCAATCCAATCGTACTTTTTAATGGTTTCCTCTCTGATTTTGCTGAGATCACCTCGTGTGTATATACTAAAACAATTATTCTTTTCAATCTCGGTGACTAGTGGCTTTAGAAATATTTACCTCGACCTCGCCACTTCGTGGCGAATAATCGTTAAGTAGTTACTTGAGTCCAGTTTGTGGGTATCATGGAAATTAAGGATGCCTGGTGCGTGCACGAAAATCGACCTTGCGGCTCTTAATGATCCATAGATATCTCTGTTCGGAGACTGTCAAATTTTCCGCCGGTAGATGTTTATCAGGACGGATTAAATCTAAAAGTTAGAGATGTCACCAGAGAAATATAACTTGCGTACACAAGCCATTAATCTCGAAGAAGTCGTTGATCTGTTTTAGAAAAAAAAACTAATGCATTCCCAATTAACACGACAAGCACAAGATTCGTTTCTAGGTAATTTTTCTGTGTGTAAAGAATTGTTACTTTGTAATGAACGTATGAATAATACGCATTGAAAATTATTTACATCATATTAAATACCCTTTTGTGCCGTTCACTTCTCTGAAACAGCTGAGAAATATGGCAAAAACACCAAGGCTGTTGCTTGTTTTATTGTCTCCCCGAAGGAAAAGGCCGGTAAAATTAATGGTTATCACTATCACATTGTTTACTTTATACCAAACATTTACAGTAAGTACGAAAGGAGGCATACCTCTGATTTTGAAATCTCTAGCTTTTCATCGTGATCAAAATTCATGGGGAAAGTCTTCATTTGATGTTGAAAATAGTGATCGCAAGCTCAATTTATCTGGCCTTAACGCTCATGTCTGGTACGACTTCTGCCCAACTTCAATCAAAGCTTTTTGCCACCACCCGTTCTTTCCCGAACAGCCAAACGAGAGACTATTTGCCAAGCAACTAAGCCTAACAAGAGGTCAAGGCAATTATATTCAAAGAATTTTCGGGTTCTTACATCCCCCAAAGACAGGAAAATACAGGTTTGCCATCGCTTCTGATGACATGTCAGAACTGTGGTTAAGTCCCAGTGAAGACCCTTCTGAGGCCATTTTAATTTGTAAAGTAGATGAGTGGGTTCAAAGAGGCGAATTTCAGCGCCATTCCTTACAAACCTCAAGCATAATAGAGCTTCAACAGCACCGTAAATACTACGTCGAGGTACTTCATGGTCAACTTGGGGGAGATGATTTTGTGGTCGTTGCATGGAGTTTACCTGGCATGGGGACGGTGTTCAAACCAATTGCCTTGAATTATACTTCCTTGTTTGTTGACGACATCAATACTCCGCACAATTACCACATGGAGATCTCAAGCGCTGCATGCGAATCAAGACCCCATCATCAACACAAGAAAAATAATTCTGTCAATCCCTTGCCAGTGTATCTTTCCCATCAGACAGTAGCAAATGTTCTTCCTTACTGTAACTACACACCAAGCTATCTAAGTAAGATGAAGATAACCGCTGACCAGCCTAAAAATTTCTATAAATTTCTGTCCAGTCATTATTTTCCTGTGGAAAGTTTTCCTCCAGTGGAATACGAAAACGTGGCCAATCCAGCGTATGCGAATCATGAGCTTGATGTAATTGAAGCACAAAAGGCGGCAAGGCTTTTCATGGATAGCCTTCATCATCACTACCCTAGGCAAGTATAAGCAATAATATTCACCAAGCCATATGTCTAGCTGGCTACAGCCGGCTACAGCTCCGGTCAGTTCTGAGGCCTTTTTCTCCTTCCTGAATGTGCCAGCTTACGAAAGCTATTTTAGTTAACATCTGTCTTGAAGAGACAGCCTGGATTACACCGCTTCTTCATATTTTAAAGAAAACTAGAGTTACCCTAGTGCTACTCCACAGGGGACGTTGCTAGTGCGCTGAAAACCTCTCTTCTTGTATGAGTTACTCGCTGCGAATCGGACCATTGTCTAGTTCACTATTTAGCTCAAAGTAGGCCTTTTTACTATTTTTTCTCACTAGATTAAGAGTACACTTTATCTGTAGTTTTCCCGTCTTCAAAATTTTCTGTTAAACGTTTTAACCTTTCTGGCGAACAATGAGTTATTGTTCACGTAACTAAATGTAATTACCTGCCTGTAAAATCAGCTCAATTTTCGAAGCTTTCTTTCTCTTGTATCTCTTGCAGGAAATTCAAAATTCTTGAACTTTTGAACGTCGAAAGGAAACTCGATAAACAGTTAGGCAGCCGTTTCCTCTTAGAGTTTTTAGTAAAGGTTTCGGGACAAGACAAACCCGCCATGATTTCCGAATTCGTCTTTTTGCCTAAAGATTCCGAAAACTTGTGTTATCCCAAAGGATTGCAGTGGAATAGACAAGCTAAAGTTGCTTTGGTGATCTCAGCGAAAGACCAGGGCAGATGGTTAGCACACTTCCTTAACAACTTACAGGAAATGTACTCTGTAACTAAGGATGAAAATGTAGAAGTTGTGCTTTTCAATTATGAAAGTTCTGATATTAATTTAGAGAAAGAGCTTGCTGTGAGGACTCTACCCCCCTGCACGGTCGTTAATGCTCGGGAAGAGCACTATTCTCGAAGCAAGTCTTTAAACAAAGGAGTTCAAGAGATCCAGGATCCACATACAATTATTTTTGCTCTTGATCTTCATCTGGATTTACCCATTTCACTGTTTGATGACATCCGAAAAGTAAGTAAATCCGTCTATGAGAAATTTCTGCAATTTGATTGGCTTAGAACACGTGTGAAAATTATAAACCTTTTGCGGGTAGTGGTATAAACAAATAATAGCATGATTTGTACGTGATATTTGGCATAAATACCACTCGTGATATTTCAAAATTGTCTCAAATGTTACTCGCCTAACGGCTCGTTAAATTTCGTATGACAATTTCGAAATATCACTCGAGGTATTTATGCCAAATATCACTACAAATCATGCTATCACCTATACTAGGTCTTCTCTGATCAATAATATTCACTAACTAGATCAGCTTGTTTTAAACGGAATGAATAACAGACCCTTGTTCAAAATGTGGAAACGCTGTTTACGCGATAAATCACTATATCATGACGCCATATTGGTTTTCCCAATACATTATCCATATGCTTATCACAGTGGGACACATTCTGACGTCATTTCCATGGCTTTCTAGTCAACTTGGACCAATCGGCGGCGGGGACAGCACGCGTTTATTGTTAAAGACGATTTTACCGGTGAATAGTGATGAAAAACTCAAGTCAAAAAAGTAGTCTCGGGTCACCCTATTGGGGTGGGACCCCAGTGACAAAGTTGACATATTTTGAGCAAACGTATGCGAACATTTGTTGGCTATTACAAATCGATTATCATAGAGGTTTCCCTTTAACTTCTTAATTTAATATCTATGACATCAAGTTAGTGGGGTTGCTAATACCGTATCTAAATGTATTTTTTTCCTTCTCATGTACCGTACAGCACTGTTTTGAGGGACGTTCTGTGTATACTCCAGTTATCATCCGTTTAGGATGTGGCGAAACTCCTGCGATGCCTCAAGGGAGTTGGGAACCATTTGGATTTGGTTTGGTTGGTATTTACAAGGGTGATTGGGACCGAATTGGAGGTCTTAATGAAAAGCGTTTTGGTACGAAATGGGGAGGTGAAGACTGGGACTTAATGGAAAGAGTTGTTAGCGATAACATGGAATATGAACGAGTTCGACATCCTAAGATTTTCCATTACTATCACTCAAGACGTGGGACATGGACTGGTGACAAAGATATTTCAAAGAAAAGACCTAAATAGCTAAAAACTTTAAAACACACTTTAATCGAATACTAACACATTAAGGTCCTTAGTGTTGAATTACAAGCACTAGACTGGATAGGAATTTTTTTGAAACCACTGTAAGTTTGAGTGCCTCTCACTAATTTTATCCCGAACGGCTTTTTAGGTGTTTTATGGTCTGGTTTTGGTCAGCGACGGAAAGTGCTGTGAGTTCTGGAAAAATAGCAAGATTGAAATTTCCCCACCGAAATAAATTTGGTAATACAGCAGTGTGTCAGTACTAGAAAACGTTTAACGAAACTCTAAAACGTACCCATTTTTTGCTGTGAGTGAAAAAAAAAAAAAATAGGATAGTTTGTAATATAGTGATATCGGAAGCTTAGAGTTCTACTCTTGTGGCGATATGAAATGCTTCTTTATGATTTTGAGTACGCTTTAACATAGTAGGAATCCCCCGTCGGTTCAACAGCATATATACTTTTTGAGTAACATACGCTGCAAAATCCAAGAAGATACTGTCAGTGTTCTCATGTGTATTTTCGCCTGTCAGAGGAAAAATAATTGTGTAATTTTGGCGAACTGGCGGAAATGTGATTCTGCTTCCATGCCTCGATCACTCTTTTCCTTTGCCCGATTATAAGTAACTGAAAAATGGAAGTTCAACCTTTTCCACGAAAGATGTTGTTGAGTCTAAGCTGTTTGTTTCTCACTCCCTTGGTCACCCCACATTGAGGCATTTGAAGTTTTCCGAAGGAAAAATAAAAGGCACTCATGCACTCAACCATGAAGCATTTATGTTAAATTTGTAGTTAAGAGACCCTCCAAATGCTGGCCTTTCCTCGCTTAGTCAAGACCCTTTTTAAAAACCCTTGTAGTACAAGGGAAAACTTGATTCTTAATTTTTCAGTGACTTTAAAAACGGAAAAAAAGGTCCCAAATGTCATCAATATTATGCAGATAAAACCGGCGAACGGATCGCTGATTATAAAGTGTATCTACATTGCAGAAAGAAGGAAAATCTAAAACGTTCACACGTGAAACAAATGTTTCAAAATATTGACCTTATCACAGTTATGACACAACAAGGAAATCTTCTTTAGGGTCGTCTAAGTAGTTACACGTAACTAGTACGACAGATATTTCAGCGATACTTTGCAAACTTTAAGCATTATAGAGCGCACTAAAATAACCCTCTTCCTGCGGAGGAATCTCTCATTAAGATGGAGCTACAAGGAGACCTTTGCTGCGCAGAAAATTCATTAACTAGGCAGCAATAAGTTAGCGTCGAAGGAGTCGAGATAGCCTCTTCTCAGTTATCTCATGAATAATTCATTTCTAAATTAAGGGTAAGGCAAAGATTAGACAGCTATGGATGAGTAACTTACTTTCACAAAAAAAAAATAATTCATTTGGGCAAATAAATTACCCATTCATAGCTGTCCAATCAGCCTTTTTTTTGTTTGAACGTTCATTTTTTTTTGAATTTTGACGAAAATAGTAGCGCCAACTCGCATAATCCCTGAACCGTAATGTAAGAGATTTCTAGAGCTAAAAGCAACATGACATCAACGACATAAAAATAGCTTAGAAACTTTCAACGCGCTCGGTAAGCTAAAAATGAAGCATGTCATCGTAGCTCATCAAAATTCCACCTAATTTTTTGTGAGATAAGGGCAGCAGTTGTGACGTCATCGACGCTACTTTATTTTACCGCACGTTAATCACCGATGCATGCATTTTATTGATTAGACAAAGACAAAAGGCTAAAACGCCATAAACGTCAATGCATTGCTTCGCAGATTAATGAGTATCCTTTGCAAGAAGATGGCTTTAATTTGATGGGCTTTATTTTTTAAGTGGCCTTGCATCAGTTTGCTTTCAAGTCTTTGCCCTGGTTAAAATCAGGCTCGGAAAGCCATCGCAAGTTTGCCCTTTCAACCTCAAGGTTTTAGAAACATTCAGTTTTAAAGTTAACTGGCGTAAGTGGTTTGGGAGCTTGAACCCGCCCTGCTTTGGTTTCGCGTCAAAACCTTCCCGGCATTTTCCAGAAACGGGCCCTAAGTTCTCGCAAGAGTGATAAAGGAATGTTGCCACATTACTTACAAGTGCTCCTAAAATTTTCAGCTGAATAATTAAGTGATTCTTTAGATTTTTGCTAATTTATGCATTTTCCCTATTCCCATTCTGTCTTCAGTCCTATCAATAGGAACCAGCACAACTGGTTCAGCAGGTGTTTCCAGATAGTAATAAAATGTGGACATCATCATAAATACCAACATAATAACGAAAATCATGGCAGCAAAAAAGAAAAATTCCATCATTAGACTGCCAAAGAGGTGAGATTCTGCCTCGATGACGACTATCAGATTGCCGAATGCCACGGTCATCAGCCACGCAGCGTGAAGACAGGACTTCATGTTTGCCGGAGTTTGGGAATAAGCAAACTCTAAACCTGAAGATTGAAGTATGAAGACAATTAGAAAAATCAACAGGTCCACAACCACTGACGAAAACTCCAGACACTGACCTTTAAAGAAAAAGAATGTATGGAATGGGAATTTACATTCTTGACTTAACAATTAATAGGAAATAATGAGTTGTTGTGCGAACTCTTACGATCTACGACACCAAATTGTGCTCTGGATCAGTGTCTGTTTTACTGTCACCAGCTTAATACACAATTATTCGCGATACAAAAAAGGAGCTTTTATGTTGCTCAAACGCTACCATACGCTATCAAATAACAAAAGAAAGAAACCAGTAAGCGACGTTCTTACAAAGGCAATAAAGATAATTAAAATCATCGCCTCAGTCAAACTGAATTGCTTTACCAAGTTTTTCTTTTTCTTGCCTTTCACTAGTCATAATATTTACACAACAATGAACAGTTTTATGTCAAGTTTATCTATAATAATTGTTTAGCACAGTTTTTATCTACTGATTTGGGTAATTTGAAAATCTTAAGTTTACCGTCTGTAGTATCTGATAACCAACGAGTCACGAACTTTCTTAATTCCTTGTTTTAACCTTTCCTGCCCTACCTAACAAAATTTCTGTCTTTGCCAAAAGGGGATAATTAACAATTAATGAATGAGGCTGAGTATCTTATAAAGAATTATGGAGATCGAGCAGGGTGTTATCCGTCGAGGGAGTAGGCCGAGAGGGATAACACCCTCCGAGATCTCCATAATTCTTCATATGATACGAAAGCCGAATTCAATAATTGTTTTATTATTCATTCAAAATAACTCCTCCATCGATGTTAAGTTCACCTTCGATAGTGCACGTTTAGGGTTGTTCAGCTCCGCAAATATTCTCCAAATAGCAGATGTGGCCCTTCGAGTTGTGCTCTTGCTGTTCTTGCCATGTGTTTAGCTATAATTTCGCCTAGTTCTTACTCTTGAAACGAGTGAAATGTCCGTCATTTTTTGTTTTCGCAACCAAATCAAGTCAACCTCGTCCCCAGGTCGTCTCGGTTAACGGTGCATTAACCTGCAAGAACGCTGCATTTTTGACGTCATTTCCTCGTTAAACACAATATTCTTCCAAATTTGGTCATCAGTAACTGGTTATGGTAAATTATGCGTGTGCTTTTAGCCAATCAGAATCGGGGAAATATTTTGAATGAATAATAATTCGGCTTATACTACACTACTATATAGAACCTATTCTTACGGTCAAAGGTATTTTTTTGGCTTATCATAGAATAAGCTGATTGGGTGAAACTGAAGCAAAAACGGACTGACAACGACAGCCAATGGTGCATTTTATGAACTACCATTAAATTTATACTTTTTAATCATACTATTACAACGTTATTTACCATGCAGAACCGGAATGTTACAAGGTCGTAAATAAATTAATGATGCTCACCAGTGATGGAGAAAAGGATTTCTCCGCTTGTGATGACAAAATATTGTGGAATCTGATACAACATAGAGACGTTTCTAGCATCCAAATCTTTGAAAAGAAGAACTTCTGCTGGGTTTGCGTAATCTTTCTTGTTTTCTTGTACCACAGCAGTATAGATTCCACCATTCTTTAGAAGAACTTCACTGGATGCATATACTTTACTGGATTTCCTCCCAACAACCGTCATTCTATAGTGATCTGCTGAAAGCACAATACAAACTGCCTTCCCCAGAACTAAAACATTCTCTTGAACCCGATGCTTGTCAAGCAGGACATCAAATGAGTTGTCATCCGGTGGTAATGAAAAAAGAAGTGTGCACAATTTTGCTCTACCATGAGGGGGAGCCGGAGTAATGTTTTGTTTAACCATGTGTCCAATCAGTTGATTTCCAACACCACCGATAACAAAGTTGTACCACTCATGTTCTTTCAAGTCAGGCTGATACGATAACGATAATTTCGACAGATGTTTACAGTCTGCGGGAGATGTGATCATGAGAGTTACGTTTTGTTTGACAGACAAATGCTGTTCAGAAGATTTATCCAAGGGATCAATAGTTATGTTCTTGTTTTCCAGAGTGAGTGTCACAGGACATTGTAAAGTGTTGATTACTTGTAGATTCGCTTGCCCAGATGGTGGCGCGTCTTTAATCATTTCTTCACTCTAAAAAAGCAAGAACGTAAAATGTCATCTGTAAAATACACTATGCAATCAGTCTCGCATCGCAATTAAGGTCTGGTTGAACATAAAGGTGATAAAGTGAAATGTAACTGTAGAATGATGCTTATTTTTAAGCCGGTAACTCGTAGCAGTGATCATGTGACTGACAAACCGGAGTCGGACGGTGCTCCACTCATTGCTACCTCCCTTTCCATATTAGTGCTCCGCTTACCGTATTTCCTCGATTAATCGTCTGCCTCGAATAATAGCCCCCCTTTGATGGAAATATTGAAACTAATCGCCCCCCTCCACCCCTCTCGCTACCTTCTCTTTCTTTTATCCCCTCCCTGTCAAGTTGAAGTGGAATCCTGATTACTGACAATTCAAGCGCTGAAAATTAATCAAAGAACCAAAATTTGAACACTTTCAAAGCCCAAGTTAAGTTTATTTGATGACTGTTTTTTGATTAAATGAGAAAATAAAATAAAATATTAAGAAATGAGAAATTTTTCCATTCATGTCCATAATACCATGGTTTGACATATAGATGCTATCATACATGCTATAAGTTATCATACCTGTATTTTCATCTGCAAAAAACCAGCAAAGACAAAAGCCACACAAGCAAGAAACATTCCAGCACACATCCTCTTGAGTGGGGTTGGTCTCTTGAAAAGGGGATACAACACACCCTCGAACAGCGGAATGAGAAGGATGATGAAAAGAGCATTGAAGGCTTGCATTTGATCTGGCTTAAACGTTCCCAAAAATCCTGAATGAATAGAAGGTGAATGATTGAATCATTATTATCATATGGTTAAAAGGAAAACGGCAGACGTGTAACACCTTGTTACGCGGGGGGAGGGTGGAGGTTGGGAAGGGGGGCACCCTTATTTTACCTAAACGGGTATGTGCGGTCGAACAGAGTATGGTTTTTTGAGGTCCCAAGTGTTAAACAGGATGTACAATTTTACAAAATGAGCAGTTTTTGTCTTAAAAAGGGCCAGCGTCTGAAGGCCTTGTTGGCACACTCCCAGCCAAACTCTGCTGGAAGGAAGTAAATCATTGCAAAGTAAATTTATGTCTAAGGAGGTGGTGGTTAATGAATGCCATGCATGCATTGACTTATGTTCAGTGAAAGAGTGTAACCTCACTAACGAGTTGAGCAGCATGCATTTCCAAAGCTCTAAACAACAGGACTTATGAAAATGTAATATAAATAGCAATATAGATATAGTATTAAATGAAAACAAGCATGGCTATCTTCGGATTGTAATACATTTATTCATTTCTCAAAAACCCATTTGCGCAAACCCCTTTTCCTCTTTTACTCATTTCTCAGAAAAATCGCTAAGAACGTCAGAACCTGTTGGCTACTTTAGCTGATGAAAGAAGATTGGAGGGATATGAGCTTGGTCATTCACTAGCTAGGTTCATTCGGCAACAATAACCTGCATAACCATCCATTTGTTGTGCCTGCAAAACCCAGCGAGAACCCTGCTGATCAAACAGCGTCCAAAAGACAGGCAGAGGAAGAAACATGAATAACACTTTACACAGAGCTTTGATGTCTTGAATCAACTGTGCGTCATATGTATCACCAGCCCAGTCCATCCAATGTTCCTTTGACTCTCCCTAATGAAAAAAAAATGTGATAACTCAGTTATCACTCAATGCTTGACGACCATAGCCTTACCACTGTGAATTTGCTGTTAACTTGATAACTGAATTCTATAATACTCAATTTCTTTGCGATGTGTTGCAATACAACTGCCATCATAGTCCACCTAACTGTGGACGAACCAAGTTTTCCGACAAACAATCAAACTTAAAGATAATGTAGTGTATAGTGGCATTCTCTTGACTTATATCACGAGAGAGAGCACAGCCAGGAGAAGTACATAGGTTGTTACTGAGTGTTACAGTCGTTACATTTAGCTTAGTTTGAGGAGTTTTTAAGGTGATGTTAAACGGACAATTCGCAATACGGCTTCTTAATGTTGGAACAATGTTGCGCCGTCTGAGACTATGCTGTAACTGGACATATGTTGCGCTAAAAATCGTCGTCGCGTATCGTCCCGTGTACTATCACCTTTACAAGCCCTGATGGCGGTTTTCTACGATGCAATCTTCATATCTGTATATATTTTACCTTGGTTGTAATTTTCTTTTTAAGTGCGTAGCTGATAACTTTAGTCACTTTCCATATCATGTTACCAGTTTGTGGGACGTTCTTGTATTTGTGACGGCCACACCAAAATATAGCAACAGCTATCATCAAAAATACTGTAGGAAGACCAAAGGCCAATGGATAGCAGTCATCTTTAAAACACTTCACGTCTCCTGTCAAATAGAAAAATTTATGAGTTCCTTATTTATCATGTTCATTACCCTAAGTTACAAAGTGCTCAATTGGCTGATGTAGGTACCAAGTTTCTCTAGATAATTTAACATTTATCACTTGAAGCTAATACATAGTGACTCTTTACATTCCATGGTAATTATCACTTTTTTAAACCAATATACGAGTTTAATAATCCTGAAAGGCTATATCTAAATAAATCCAGCTAGCACCACGTGCATCCCCGGCAGCCAGCCCAACAATCTTATGGCGCTCTTTATCTCCAACAAAGTTCCAAAATCTAGTTGAGCCTATATTATATTACGGCGCATAAACCCAAACTGGCTTCAAATGACCACAATATATTGGGTGGAAAGTTGACTAAACCTCGACGCAATGCACAAACATTAACTGATCTGAGCCTGCAAGTCTGCAACACACAAGAAGGAATACATCGGAGATCGGAGAGGACGCTGCGCGCCTTCAGTTCCCTGGACCGAACCCCCCAGCGTTTGGCTCGGTATACGCGAATTGGAGTATCAGATCTTGATTCTGCAATCTGGGACGGCACGACGTGGAAGACAAAACATTCCAGCGCATGCCGAAGGATAATGATGATGTTTAATTTTACTTTCCGTTCCTGCACTAAACACTTGTATCATGTTATAACAAACTTCTATAAACGAGTAACCTTACCTCTTAGTACGGGTGTGATGAACATTGAGAGCAGACTTCCAGCATTCATAGCAAAATATAATACTGAAACAAAGCTCTGAAGCAGATGTGTCTGATCAGAAGTAAACTGGTCTCCTCCAAAAGATGACACACATGGTTTGATTCCACCAGTTGCTAATGCAATCAGGAATAAACCAATCATTGGTCCTGGAATCTCACCAGCACCAAGCGGAGGTAGTGATGTGACAAATACTATCAGGCTCCCTACACCATAAAGAAGAAAAACGAACTGGATTGTTCTAGGGAAAAATGAGAAAAGGAATTTTTACACAAAGTTTTCAATTGTCTCATAAGTTATAAGTTCCTATTAAGTTAAAATTTATATTTTTTCTTTAACTCCCCGAGAGTTTTACTGTGAAAATTTGGCTAATGGGTTACATGAACAGAAGAACTCAGGAAAACGCAAATAATGAAGTGTAAGAATGCTAAACGAATATCAACGCAAGAAACAGTAGCGGATCTGGGTTTTCGAGTTTTCATTTACTGGCATCTTTTTCATAGCCCACTGCGTAAAAACACTTAATGCTTAAAAAGCAGATTTAGCCTCGCTAAAGGGTAATAATTCAACTTTCCTTTGATAAAGTATCACCCGCAATGGAGCGTCATCTTACGGGACTTATATGTGTGACCATAGTTAATTGAGTGGAATGGTTATGAAACCCGTCACACTCCTTTGTTGTATTGTGGACCTGAAACAGGGGCCGCGGAGCAAGGTGAAAAGTGGGAGGGCTGACAATTGAAAATAATTTTTTCATATTGAAAATCGAAAAAAGGAATAAAATCATAGTATTTGATTTTCAAAAAGTGGGGGCGGGGGCGCAAAAAAGTGGTGGGGCCGCAGCCCTACCAGCCCCTCCCCCTCCGCGGTCCCTGTGAAAGTGCACAACGTTCAAAAGAATTCCTATCATTTTGATTGTATTGACCAATAAAAACGTTGCATTAATTTATTCCGTAACAATTTGCCAACAGAAAACAAAGGATTGTGCACTTTCACGGTACTTCCAACATAAACTGCAGCACTGTTGTTTTTATCATTGATGTTTGCCGCTTTTCATAACCAGTCTCCTCTAATAACTATGGTGTGACGCGCTAAAATTAAACCTGAATGGCTGGTCAGTCAGTAAGACAACAGAGAAAGTGACCGGAAAATGACCAACAACGCGTATTTTCTTCGAGCACACGAGTAAATATATACTATCTTTTCTAAAAGTTAACTAAACAAATAACACCTTATAAAGGATCGTACTTACTATGTAAAGGTCATTTTTTAAATTAAGGAATTTAATTGTATCGGTGAGTTAGAGAGGAAATGAGTAAAAGTAAAACAGTTTGGAAACCGTGCACAATTTATGAAAGACCGAACTTATCAAAAATTTCCTGTATACTATAGAAATTGATTGCTTGAGTGCTACTAAACTACTCAAGCCCTAAATTGAGAACGGCTGAGGAAAGAAAGCAACTGCGCTATAAATCATTCTTTGAATACTTTTATGTCTTTGGTTGTATTGGGTACTTATTATCCATGACGAAACGCCTGAATGCATGAATATTTATACGATGAATTTGTATTTTATTCACATAGGAACTTGAAGCTTGATTGAATAACAAGGCAATTTGTGATACGAGGGTCTGTGATATGAACTGTGACCCCAATGCGTAAATATTTATACAAGCGCGGGTTTGCTATTTAGATCAGATTTATAGTGTGATTCATGTCCAAAAATTCCTACAGATTTTGAAGTGATCTCCATTTGCATGCCCCCCCACCCCCGCTAGGTACACAATCTCAGACGGAGCTTAAGCATATCATGTTAATGGCGCTGAATTAGTCAACTGAGCAATGGAGTCTTATCGGGTAATGTGATCAGAGGACTGACTGAAGAACTCATAGAGATAGTAATCAGATAAACACTAGAACATAACTAAGAGATTCTATTTAACTTACCTGTATTTTCCAAGCCAGCCATCGGCGATCATTGCCCCAAACAAAGGAGTAAAGTAACATAACATTAGAAAGCTATGGAAGACTGCAGTGGCGGTATCGTCTCCAAGAGCAAGCACACGAGTCAGATACAAGATCAAGATGGCTTTCATCCCACAGTAAGAAAATCGCTCGCAGAATTCACTCCCTACGATGTAGCAAACACCCGAGGGAAATCCGCTCTTACAAAGGAGAAATTTCTTAACACGGCCCCAAAACTTTCCGCTAAGCGTAAAATTTTCAACGTTCTGTGGATAGGTTTCTTGACTTAGGCTAGAACAAGGAGTGTCCAGGCTCGTTTGGCTAAGCCGGCTTTTGCCCATGTGTCCATTTCCGTGTGAAGTAGTAGAGCAGTTTTGATCTGACATAATAGAAAATGTTTCAAACCCTCACAAAGGACTGACAGCAAAATACCTTGTGACTTTCGACCACCTTGACGTGAGCCTAGACGATTGAAAAACAAGACAGTAGAACCTTTGTTATTGAGTATAATGCAAATTAGTTGCAGCTGATTTGTTTTACAATAATCTCAATAAAGTTAATTATGTTGAACAGCACTGTCTTCTTCGGTGAACCACGGTTATTCTAAACTCCATGTTGAAGTTTTTAAAGTCTTCTTTTGGCAGGCTTCTGTTTAGTGTATATATTCAATTGAAGGCAGCAAGTTTGGAAAAAAGCTTAAGACCTGAAAAATTTCTACAGCTAGTGTAGATCTGATTGCACGTTGTAAACAAGAGCTTTAAGGACACAGCTGGTGAAACTGTAACAGCCGTCAAATTTTGGCTTTAAATGTATGTAAAAAGGTCTATCTAGAAGTTTGGTTTTCTGCATAAGACTTCACTTACCTTGAATGACTTCACAAAAGCTGAAGTAAAACAGCCTTTTAAAAACGGATGCTTCCGGCTAAATGTATTAAAATAAAACCTTCTCCCGATTTTAGATCATAACAATAAGTGCGGTTTATTAGTTTTGGGGGGTTTTTCAGATCATGGAACAGTCCAGCTCCCCGCTAACAAAAAAAAAAGAGTGTGGCTCCTCGTATTATGATAAATGGTCTTTGAACTATCAAAATTAGATTTTAAAAAAACAAAACTTCAGGTTAATAGAATTCAAAAAAAGGTAACAGGCTTTCATAATATGACTAAAATGATGTGAACTAGATAAGGAAATACCTACCTTCTATTCATTCAGTTCAATGTGGCAAGCTAAATTGTAGTTGTCCTGAACTTGGCAAGGGGTGGTCAGTAAAATTTAGACTTTTGAACAGATTAAATAAATGAAAATTATATTAAAAGGCGAGAGATATTACAGTACATTACACGTGCACGTGCATACGACGAAAATACAAACGGAGCAAAGTGAGAACCATGGTAACTCTACGCTCGTTTCGTTATTTTGTTCAGTTTCTTTTGTCCACTCATCTTTTAATTTCGTTCGCCGATTTTACCAGCTACACTTTATCGATTAGTTCTGGGTTATGTCATTGGGCACATAGAACTGGTTTGAATATTCACCGCGAGAATTATATTTAAGCACTAAACACGAACTTATGCAGCCACGTGTCAATCATTGGTGCCTTTTGTTAGGATTTTTATGCTAACAGTACTACGTCGTTACGTGCGCTCATACTTGCGTCGTAAGTGAGCAGTCTAAAACACTTGGAGTTTGGAAATGGAATACAAGCAATTGTATGCTAAATTGCAGTCACTGATGTACCTTTTGGTAAACTTTATTGGCCGTCAAAGACGTAAGAACCACTTCTTAAGCAAAACTATAAATGCGCGAATTTCTCTTTCCTTGTCAGAGCATATCGTTATGTGTAATAGAAATATAGGTTTTACAAATAGACTTTTACAAAAACGAGGAGTCTAGTAAAACAAATCTTATGATTTCCTTGGAACAAAACTCAATCAAAGCTAGTCCATGCCGGATGCAAATACATAACCGCCAAGTATAACTATAAGAATGTTTTTCCCAGAAATGTGTATTTTCTGCTGCCTAATTAATTAGACGGTCAGTTCATGTCACTCTTCAACTTGGCGCTTGAATGTGTTGTTTTCCATACGATCCAGAAGACCACCGTATACCTTGGTCATCTAAAGAAACAGTAAAGTGGATAACTAAATAATGATATACGGCTTTTGATGGTTCGTGACTGGAGTTACCCCCCCGGTGGGGGGGACTTTAGGAATTTCTGGGTGGGGATGTGCCGCCGTGACCCGGGAACCCTTAACCTATACCAGACCCCGGGGAGTTACCCTTATTACTGAATTTTTTTAAGCAGCTAAAAACCTGTTCTCTGTCACATACTTTGTAGCTTGAATCAAATGGACGAAAACGAACCAGGAAGCAGTGAAAGACGCATGAAAAAAGCTTTAACTTGAAAGGGTTTTATCACCCTGTAATCAACAGAGAGTTGAACTGACCTTTTCTTGATAGTTGCACTTAAATGTAGGCAAATGATGCAGCAGTCTCATTGCCAGCGCACACCACTTCTCTCCAGCTTCATGTCTACTGGCACTGTGAACAAGAAACATAGTAAAGCCAGTACATCACACTTTTTTTTACATGCTCCAACGTTTTTAATGATGAATCAAGTATTTTGAAAAAAGCATCATGTTAAGCAGGTGAAGTGCTGTCTCATTTCAATATGCTTGTGCTTATATAACGGAAATAGAGACTGACTGATACAGACACCGAATGTCGCTTATGTTCGACTACTCACAATTGGGGTTGCAAATTCGCTAGATTTGAAACAATGAATGCAAAATTTATCTGCGTGTCGTGTGCGCGACGCAATTATACATATCCTTTTAAAAAGTAAACTCATCAAACCGTGTCAGGAAGCCGACACTGAATCTGTGGCTACCCTGTTTTTAAGCCACATGTTCGATTCAGCAAAGAGGGCAGGTCCGGAGATTTCGTTTTTCTTCTTTCTTAAGCATCCCGGTGTTACGTAATATGATTATTTACCTGAATAGGTTTATCCCACAGTTCCACGCTTTCGTCATGAGCCACAGGATTTGTACTTCGGGATACGATCCCTGAAACAGAGGTAAATTCTCGTCAAATGATTTATATAAAAACTGAGAAAGGTTTTATACCATTTGATATATCTTTTAGAGCCGATAAGGGTCCATGAACTTTTCAGACACTGGATGAGCGTACAACACTCAGCCTGTAGTATTTTACCTTTGCCTGGTTCTCGATGATTTCACAAATGTCTTGGTATATAGTCAAAGCCTCTTCTTTGCTCTCAGCATCACTACTACTGCCACTGCTTAATGCATGATATACCAGACTGTGAAAAGCTTTACTGAACAAGAGTAATTATCATATATTAGTATTTGATTATGGTAGACGCTTTAAATAATTAGTTATTCAGAGAACTTAAATTAAAACTGAAACCTATACTTTACCTTCGTTAATTAAACATCTTTCACTGTTCACGGAAATATAATTTTGGTGTCAAGAGACCAATTAAGCTAGTGTTATCTCGTTGGCTCCTATTTCTTACAAACATTTCAATCAATTACGTACACAGTAGCTACATTAGAAAGAAAGAAAGCAAAGAAAAGTTGAAGTGAGTATGGAAGTTAGTTAGTATGCAATTAAGTAAGGCATGAGACATTAGAGGAGTCAGTGGATAATATATAGAGGATATTACACGGCGGCGCGAAGATATGAATTTTATTTTCGAGTGGCAAAACAATATTTTACGAACGAGCGCAGCGAGTGAGTAAAATATTGTTTTTTGCCACGAGAAAATAAAATTCATATCTTCAAGCCGCCGTGTAATGTTCTTTTTATTATATAGACAAAAAGACATCGATAAAATAATAGAGGGAAATTACCGAAATTACGTCATCGATAAACTCACGTGTGAGATTATGGAAAATAAACCACTTGGGTCCCGGATGTAGTTTTTATGAATTTTACGAGTGGTATATTTTCCAGTAAAACACTCGTGTCTATATAATAAATTAAAATAACTAAGCATATAGCTGGAAATGTCTGCCGGTATGAAGAAACAGCTGTATAAATATATATAAGATTGCTACCTAGCTCTACCTCAACTTAGCGAAGTCCACTGATTCCATTGCAATATGTTTCTTGACAGCAACTCTCAAAGCTCTCATACTTATCTCTCTGTTACAAGTAGGAGACTCAACTGCAATGGCTTCACCAAGCCGCAAAAATTCACCAAATGTAACGCAATTACGTTAGTAAAGCAAGATGTTTTTTTGGAAGTATTAGAAGTTAATGACACGTACAACTTCATATGGTCAAAGAAATAGTAGAGAAATTTCCAACATATACAAAAGTTGGTTTACAAGACTTGTCACAGTCTTATAATTCCATGTATCAAACAATTTTCTCAAAGCTTTGTAACATGAAAAAATTTGTGATCACCGTTTTTAATTTGTTGTCAAGTTTAGTTATATCGTGCGTTAACCAACTGGAGACCACGGTCTTCTCCTTTTTATTTTCAACAGAAAATTATACATATAAACGTATCTGCAAATTGATTACCAGCAAGAGTTTCAAAGGTACTTGGATCAGTGTGTGGCAAAGCTTCCGCTGCGTCTAAACATTCATATAGGTCTGAATCAGTACCAAGTTGCACCTTGGCCTCGAACTCATACAGAGTGAGCAGTATAAACGATTCGTCTGAAAAGAGTACCAAAATTAGCTCTATTGGAACATTATAACTTCAGGAATAAAGTTAGATAAAGTTTGGAAAAACAGATCGATAAATAAAGGCGTACTCAGTTTACCTTTATGATTCACTACGCCTCCCCCACCCATCTTTTTGCGAAGATCACGACATGTCTCGACGTGCTCCAAACACTGCCTTAATAGCTTTTTCTATAATAAGGAACAAGTATTTGATTAGAATAACGTAAATATTTCTTCGTCATTTCTACAACTAACAACTCTCTTTGTGTCTGATCCCCAATGAACTATTTCTCTTTTCTCTACGGTTACATTGCACTCATGTATTCCGAGAGCTTCTCCAGTCTCCAAGGGCCACCCTTCAACTTGCTCGCGCGGTTCGTGTTTGTACATGAGTTCGGTTCTATCTGTTCTTTTGTGCAACAAAAAAGGGGTCGTGGTTGAGCAATTAATGTAACAGACCTTCCAGAACGATGCAGAATGCATGTGCCACCAGTTCAAAAGTTTTAAGTCACGATTCCTGACTATGAATTAGTAACACAGAAAATCTTATAGAAAGTAATAACACAAACCTTCTCTTCTTGGCTATTTTTGTCTTGTTCTCTTGCTGCTTGAACAGCAGATGCAGCAGCCATCACAAGGCAATTCTTTTGACGAACTGAGTTAGAAGATTCCACGGGACAAAGGCAAGAAAACTACATAACACACACAAAAAAACAAATATTAGCTGGTTAAATCTAAATTGTACTCGTTTCTTTGCCTTTTCTTAAAGTCAACCTTTTTTAGGGCATTTTCATCAATAACTTTCATTGATTTATTTATAATTTTGAAAACAAGTGAAATCTTTTGAAGGAACCTATAATTTACAAGACTCCTGGCATAAACTACTTCCAAATACGTTGCAAATATGCAATTTCTTCAGACATAAATTTAATGGCTGTTATATAGTGCAACAGGGCCGAGTTGTTCAAAGCTGGGTTGAGATAACACAGGGTTAGAGCGAGACTTGAATTCAGATATGAAAGATTAAAAAGCATTTCCGTTTTAATTCTTTTTGTCTACAAGTTGATGATTGGAAGCTCTAAAAATAACAGAGAAAATTATCCGAGAAAATGCTTTTGAACACAAGAAAGAGAAACCCGGGTTAAGCGCTAATCGGCCTTCGAACAACTGGGCCCAGAAGGGTAGTTATATTAGTAACTGTAACTTAAATTGTACACGTCTACCTTATAACAACGCAGGAAAAGTTCTTGCATTTCCAAGCTATTGTCAGTACTTTCCAGTGCAAGATTCCAAGCTAAGAGTAAAGATTTCATTAGAAGTGCAATTAGGGGTAAACTCCTATAGCTATGCTGAATATCCGAGCACTAATGCTTAAGCAGAAGTCGAATGCAAGGTCTTTGAATATATCATTCTGTATCAGTCTGTCCGTTTGCCTGCCAAGAGGAAATTATTAGAATGTTTGCCGCTAATTTTAAACTGAAGCAACGTGCTATACCAGAAAAGTATAGCATTTATTCTTGGTTGACATTTTGTCACGATTCTATTGCTCCATTTATGAGCTTCCTGTAACCCATGCAGCCTAGGATGACCCCTTAGGATATCAGAAACTATACGTGCATGAGGGGGGAAACACCAATGATATAACCGGGCCAGCGTTTGGAAGAATCGGATTAGTTTAAAAGACACATACCATGGTCATAAAACTTTCTTTTGGAGCGTCTTTTTCAAGCCACCAACCTTTAGGTCTTGTCTGCATTTTCCGCTCACAGAATCAAAGTTGGTATATAAGGGAATGTTGGTAAAAAAACAGACATTCGTTGTCCGTTCTTCGTAATAAGTAAGCAGCTTACCGATTTTCATAAACCACATCGCCTCTACATACACATGCGTATCGCCTGCACCGTGCATCTGAGACAAGCGATCCAACGCTAAGAAATAATTCCAAGAAGTCGTGTTAATGATCTTCATTGGATGCCCTAAGTTATTTATTTTCTATAAACTGTTTTGTCAGTGCCGGAACTAAGTTAACACAGCCGGATGCAGGGGACGGCTTGAATCATGTTTCAGAATGCCCATTGCCACAGTCCTAGAAACGATCAAATACTTGAATAACTAGTTTCGTAGTCGAAACCGTAAGAGAACGGAACATGCTGTTTTATTTGTGGGGCAGGAGAATTTGCCCCCACTGACTCACGACTCGCTGCTTTCAAGAATGTAGCCTGCGAATACAGCCGTTTCTCCTTGCTCCTCGCAGCTAAGGACGTTTCGCGAGAAGAAAAGAGAAGCGGCTGTATTCGCAGGCTATCAAGAATTAAAAGTGACGGTAAATTTATCTCTGCAACGAAGCGGAGAAAAAGAGATTTACAAAGTTGCTTTCGGAGGCTAGCAGGAGAAAGTTGTATGCCAGAAAATGTGAAAGCCCTATTACAAGTAGAGGTTTTAGAAATAACCTGAACACAATAATTATGGAAAACTTAAGTTTATCAATCAAGTGATATCAATAGCGAAAAGTATGCCTTCTCAGTTTGGATTGTCTTTTACGTATTCATCTTACCGATCTGTAGATAGCGAAGAAAAGAGGTAACATCTCTCCTAAAAAAAATAATGAGTTAAAAATCACCAGAATTGGAGTTTATGAGATTTGTTTTAGAATTACCTAAAACCTATTAAGAGGCAGTTCTGTTGCAGAATATGGTAACAATTGTAAATGTTAGGATATAGAAAGCCGAAAAATATTTCATTGTTGATTTACCTTGTTCCTGAATCTGAAATTTCTGTGAGCTTTAACCTTGACAAGCATCTAATTTGTTTAAACAGAAAAAAAAAATCATTCACAGCGTTTAAAAAAGAATTGGATCAGTTCACTCAATTTAAAAATCGGTAATGATATGTTAATAGTAAGTTACATTTGGCTAGAGAGGTTATTTACCAAGGAAGTTCGCACGCTTAAAAGAGATAACAGATAACTAATATAAAAGAAAGAGATACCTGTAGATAGTCATACCTAAGTGACGTTAAAACTTGTTGATTATCACTGCTAGTAGCTATGACCTGTTCTAGGGCACTGACGGCTACTTGATGGTTCTTTTGCTAAAAGACATAAAGTATAAAGAAAACAGTTTACAAAAACTTAAAAGCCTCTATCTATAATAAATATTACCTATATTAGATACAATAAAATTTACTTTTGCTTCTCAAATATTTCGTGACTTCTGTTTTGACGAGAGATTTAAATAACTGTATTGTATTGTATTTATTTATTTACAGATTAAGAAAACATAACAAATTTATATACAAGGTGAAAATGAACAATAAGACACGAAGTCCCCTGCAAGGCTAAGACACCCCTCCCCCCCTCCAAATTTCCTCTTTCATTGTTCACGTGATGATTTCCATTTTGTAAAACTACCAAGACATCATCATCACAAGTAAATCACTTGTTTTAATTGACGAGGCCTTATCAACAAGCTTTACTATTGATCACCTTCTTTTTCTTAACTATCAGTTTTTGGGACATTAAATAGTTCATTATCTTTGTTAGTTTTTTTAGGACAAATAAATAAATAAATAAGCTTAACAATTGGTTTTAGCATGCAAAGTATGTTCGTCTCACAGAATGTATTATAAGTGTGATAAATGAACTTCGTGTCGTTTAAGGGTAACGGCGAGGTGAGAGGAACTCATCACAACCAATCAGTTAAACTGTTACCCTTTTATTATGTTTCGGGATGCAATGGCGGACGCACGTGGTCTCACAAGGCTCGGTATCCACACTACCTTTTTCATTTTGTATTTATTATTAATCGCTGAAACTCCTGAAATCGTTAAAGGCAGATACTTCAAGGGTTATGGTTTTGGTATTGGTTTGAGGTCCCGGCCACAGAATGTGTATCTACCTGAGCGTCCTGCTGGTGCGAAGTTATCCTTACGTGGTTCAAACCTTACGAGCGTTACTCGACAATTTCCTCGCGTTCATATGCACCGAATACGATGGACTAAACATGGTCACCAATGTTTATGGCTGCCTGATGTCT